CTGCATGCTCTTACAAAACCCCAAAACCCCAAAACCCCTTATCTTTATATTTACTGGAAATTGACCAATTTTAGAAATATATAGAAACAAAAACATTCAAAGTTTAAAAACAAAGGACAAAGTTTGAGCAATTATAAAATTATCATAAAATGGAGTTTCTAAAACACTCAATACTTTTTATTAATTAATTGCAATCAGAGTTTTATCGATTCTTAATTTAGCCTATTGCATCAATCCCTTCTTATACTATACTTTTAATGATAGCTTCTCTCTCTATTTTGAATTCAATAAAGTCATTTAGCACTTTTATGAAATTCTATACTTGAGTATTATGTTCCAAGATGGTTTAATTACTCATACTATCAGTAGAGGTAGAAAAGACTTATTTTAAAGTTTTTAATTTGTTTTCAATTTTTTTGATTCCATTTTATTTTGTTTTTATTGCTTATTCAATGTTTTCTTCTTATGTTTAAAGTTCTGTTATTTACTATTAGATTTGTTCAATTTCTTATTTAGCCTAATTTACATTCTCTATCAATTTTAATTCAGTTTCTTCAATTTTTTTAAAGAGGTAAGCTTTATTTTATTCAACATTTTGATTTGTTTTTTTTATTGAAGTTTATAGGTCTTTATTAATTTACTTACTCTTATTTTCATATTCTTTTATGAATTATTCATGCTTATCCTGTCAATTTGAACTAGTACTTTTACTTTACTAATGACCAATTTAATTGTTGATTTTGCTTTCTATTATTTTCAACTGACCTGAAAACTCATTTCTAATCTGCCAGCTATAAAAGTAATCTTCATCTTATTCATCCTTCTCAGTACCATTCATTACTATAGAGAACTCACTCCAGAACTTTAGATTATATCCTAAAGTCAAAAAGAACATTTGAAAATATTCTTATTTTTATACTAGTGACTTTAGATTTAACTAATATTAGGTACATTCTTAAAGAAGGTTTTCATCAGAATGCTCACCTATCACTAAAGAAACTATTCTCTTCCTTTAATTTTATTATTGCCCCAAATATTATATAAGAGCTTCTATTACCAAAGTATACTTAGGGGAGTTTTAATTAAATGTTACTTATTCAAATGTAAAATTTGATATTTCTATAGTTTATTTATTCTTAAAAGAAGCTAAATCTTGAATAAAACACTTTTCATGATCGAAAAACACAATTCTTCCATTATTAGTTTGAATATTATCTACAAATTTTTTCAATTTTTTTATCAAAAAGATGTTGGTGTTTATTTTGATTTGATTTCTGTTTGAATGTTCAATGAATATTAAAAGATCTAAGTTATTGTCTTTCAATTTATCTTTTAATTCATGATTTTCGTTTTTATCAGAAAAATAATCATCTTTTATACTTAAAACATTTTTTTCGTCAGCAGGCTTACAATCGTTATAATCTATATCATTTTTCTAGACCAATTATTAAAATCTCTATTGCTAATTCTCTTTTATTCTCTTAACTGAAAGGCCTTCTAGCTCTAAAAGTTTAGTCTTTTAATAAGATAATTATTCTCCTAGATAATTTTATTTCTCCTGGAATTGAATTTTTTATTAAGTCCATTACTGAATTTAACTCGCACTTTCACTTTTCTCATCAAGTAAATCATTTATATCTGCTTTTGAACTATAAAAAAGATCTTTTCTCTCCTAAATCTTTTCATTTATAATAATTGAAGTGAGTTTTTAAGTTATGTTTAAATAGGTTTAGGAATTGTAATTTTATTTGAGGTTATTAAATTGATCAATTATTTTGCCTTCATAAAATTACAATTCCTATTCATTTTCAAAATAGTTGTCTTGAACAAACTTTAAGTTTCCTATGATATTTTTAATATCTTCTCTTAGTTAAATGTTCATTTACCTTTCATTATTGAAAAGCATAGAGCATTATGTTGCTATTGCTTAAATGCGTATATTTTACTTTGAAATAAAAATTATACTATTTATTTGGTCAAATATTTGTCGTTCTTTGATTTAATTAGACATTTATTAAGTTTATAATTGATCAATCTTTATAATTTTAAATAAGATATTTAGGATGGAAAGGTAAGCACAAGAATTTGACTCCCTCCCCTACACAAAAGAACACTAAGTGAGACCATCATTCATTAAGATAATGAGAACTGATACTCATTTCACAGATGTTCACTTGATTTATGATAATTCAGAAGTTTTCAAACTTAATACCAAAAATTATTCCGATGAGGAATAAAAAAATATAATCGAGGTCAAGATCCTTCCATCACAGTTTATATCAAAAGTTAAAGTCATAAAAAATAAAGCAAAAGCAATCATACAAATTGAGTTTGTGATTTCAAATGCCAGGAATAATCTTGAGCCCAAAATAATTGAACCTCTTAAAAAGTCTGAGGAGCCTGAGGAGAATTTGGTCAAAACAGAATATATTGCTGGGAAACAAGAATAACTTGTAGCTCTACATTGCAAATTCGAAAATTCTCTTACAGAATTTTATCCCTACTTTGGGTAAAAGAGTAATATAATCAATGAAGATAATCAAATTGCCAAGACTATAAATACTAACAAGTAGTTTGAATAGAAACTCCAAGAACATAAAATTCTCATTTTCAATAGTCTATACGATTACAAATCTTTATTAGGACTCATTAAATAAATCCCTCCATTAATGATGATCAAGAAAGAAGAATACAAGGATGTATTCAAAGAATTAAATTTATTTATTAAGAGTATTTTCGGATTAAAGAGAGGGGTTACTGATACTTTTAATAAGATTAACTCGATCTTTGAAAGTATCATATCCAAATTTAAGTAACTAAGCAAAATTCTTGAAGATGATCTTGAGAACAGCACTAACTTTAAAGCATCAATGTATTCTGATGATGTGAATAGACTTAAAAAATTTAGTAAAGAACTTGAGGATTACTATGATGAGCTTCAAAAAAATTTAAAAATGACGAAAGGTCTAAGAGACAATGATACTATTCAGAAATTAAAATCAGATTTGATGAGTTCTGATAATGTTGAAAACTTTGAAAAATTACTAAGAGGGGATAAATCGGTATTACAAAAAGAAAAACTTTCTAGAGATGAAAAAAGAGTTTAATTCAATAAAGTTAATAAATTGTACAAAGAATTAAAGACTAGAGTAAAGGATTATGAAATTCAAATTAAACAATTAGAGGAAATCATTAGTAAAGAAAATCAAGATGAAACTAATCTTAGATAATCATAGAGTGATATTAAAAATTATACGTAGAAATTTTTGAGCCAATAATTTCAAAATAACGATATTTCAGATTTAGACAAACTTAAGGAAGAAAAAATATCAATCTTAGATAGTTTACAAAAATAATTCTTAGAAATGGATAGCTAAATCAAGGATTAGATAAAATAAGAAACAATAAAGATACAAACATATGGGGATCCCTAATCTAAAAAGATCCATATGACAATTATAGTAGATGATAGTACTTCAATGAATGATAGTTGGGCTGAGGTGCAAAGAATATTAAATAACTTTTTGAATTCATTGAAATAATATGACTTAGCTTGCGAAATTTCGATAATATTTTTCAATTCAACTGCAAGAATTCACTGTAGAGCTGTAAATCTCCAAAATATTCCTCCTATGCCTTCTCTCAAGGGTGGCTCTACAATCTATGAATCGGCTTTTAAGCTTTGCGAATAAATAATTTCAATTTCAAGTTCTGATGCTTAGTAATATATTATATTTTGCACTGATGGAGAGTAGTCTGATGATATAAAAAAATCTATTAAAATTCTTTCTGAAGCAAAAATTAAGTATAAAACTTTGAAATTCTTCGCTGTAGGATTTGGAAAATATTATAATAAAAAGTCTTTAGACGATCTTAGTGATGCTGCTAACAATAAGGAAAAATTTCTTTAGATTGGAAAATCATAATTCGATTTTGTGCATGAGGCAGAAAATGAATAGTTACTTGAATACGTTTTTAAATAATTTTCAAACACCTTTGACTGCTTAGCCTAAGAAAAAGCTATTGAAATTTTAGAAAAACAACTTTAAAACAATCAAAATGATTACCAAAATTAATTCAACTTTTTCAACAATCTTTATGAAGAAAAAATACATAATCATATGTAGGACATTGAAAAAATTAATGAAGTCAAACAAAAAAATGCTGATGAAAAAGAAAAATATTTCGGTCTGCAGATTTAATCAAAACTGGATCAAACGGTTGAATAATTAAATACACTCAATAAAAAGAAGCAAGAATTAGTTACAAAACGAAATAATACTTAAAATGAATATAAAGCTTAAAAAGCAATGAAAGATGGCTTAAAATTAGAACTTGAGACAAAAGATTCATAAGTAAAGACAATGTTTAACAAGTAATCTGATTTAGAGAAGGAAAGATCAGAGAAATTACAATAATTCATTGAGGATAGTGGCTTTTAATCCATAGGTGCAATTGAAACTTTCTATAATTCTCTCTAATCAACTGAATCTGTAGTAGAAAATCTAATAAGAGCAATTGATTTTACAATGCTAATTATAGATTTCATCAAAGAAAAGATAGAGGACTTCGCATTATTCTTTAGTGATAGGAAGGAAAAAGATGAAAAATCAAGAGTAGATGATGGAGTTATCTTAAAGTATTTGAAATAAAGATTTTAAGCTCACCTAGATTCAGATACTTACAAGAATGGCACAACAAAGGATATTATCCTTAAAATTATATAATAGACAGATAAGAGAGATTATCAAAATTATCAGCCATTTATCGAAGCAATCCTATTGACTATTGATCTTAAATCAATTAATGATCTTACGGAGCAACAAACTGAAGATTTAATTAAAAAAATCATATACAAAATAATGCCAGAGGATGATAGAGACGATGCAAACGGTTCAAGCGGTAAAAAGAAAAGAAAAGATAGCTATGAATCAGATGATGACGACAGATATACTTAAGCAAGCAAAGACGAAGAAGATCATAATGATAAGAAGACAAGCTCAATAGATGATGAGGAATTAGAGAATTTCGTTGCAATATTTGATTTTGGTGATTATAGACTTCCAAATACAATGAAAGAACTAAATAGAGATCTTAAAGGACTAAAAACTGAAATGAAAGAAACTTAAAAATCAGAAAGTGATAAGATCAGAGCATTGAGGACTCGGCTAACTATTTTAGAAGCATTATAAAACAAAAAGACCTTATAAAAATGTCTTTACCAATCATTTAGGATAATAAATGAGAAAGTAAAAATAGGATTTAACAAGTAGTTCAAGAATAGAATTAAAGATAAATTGAAAGTAATATTCCATTCATTAAAGTATGATGTGATCTTAAAACTCTATATGTTTGATGAAACTGTGCAGATCTATAAAATTGAAAAAGAGGCAGAAATAGACAAAAAGCTAACACAAAATTACAAAGACTAACTTGAACTTATAAGTTCTAATATGTAAAAGGAAAAAGTATAACCTAATGAAGTAAAATCATAAGATTAATAATAATGACCTATCTCAGAAAAAGTGAATAATGAATGTATTTTTTATAATAAATTTTAAATCGTTTCTTTTCATCGATTATTTTATTTCAGCATTAAGGGGTTTTGGGGTTTTGGGGTTTTGGGGTTTTGGGG